CTGAAACTTGGCTCCCCATCTTCGTAAATCCAGACGGCAGCTCTTCTCGGAACGAACGAGACCGTCTTCGGTTTTCTTCGACTGAGTTATTTCATAGAACTTTTGATCAATGAAGCGAGCTAAATGGTCTGCGGTAAAGCTGAAGGCTTTTTGCGAACAACCTTGGGTTGCAAACGCCCTGGCTTCAATCTCTAAACCTGGATAGGTGTCGTAGAATGAATCGATTTGTTTGCCGCCTCGATTATCTTCAATAAAAGTATTGAAACCTCCGGAAATAAAGACTTTGGCTCATTTGTGCGCAGGTTTAGGTCAAAATTTTTTAAGTTCATATTCGTGATCAGCTCGACGAGCTCTATCCAACCATGTATAATTCGACTAGATTCGTTTTTGTCACGGTACTTTTGAATTTCCGGCACCTTACTTGTATTTTCTTTTATCTCTTATTTTTCTGACTTCAGAATCAACTATCGAGTGTCACATGTGACTGATGATGTCTTTTCAATAAAGACGAAACTTCTCTAACAGAAAATAGCGATATTTTTCAAGGTGGTTTATATCTTAATTTATCTATTTTGAAATTTCTCACGTTAAAAAATGATTTGATAAAAAAATGACACGAGTGTGTAATCAAATGTGTGTAAATTTTAATTTTCTAGAAAACAAAAAAAATTTTCATACTAAAATAATTAAAACTAATATAAAAACATATGAAAAAATGAAATTAGTAATTATTAAATAATCGATATTGAAATGTAATTTTTTGGGGTAATTTGGCCGGTATATATTTCTTCAATTCACTAATGAATTTAAAATAAGTCGCAACAACCAATGTTTTCTGATGAGTTTCAAGCAATTGAGCATTCAATACGCTGTACATCGTATCTGGACATGAATTACATGCTCGATGTAATTCAAGTAAACCTTTACCGTCCATTGTATGACACAAAGGTATCATCAAGGGAAGATTCAAATCATTTAAAAATTCTAGAACATTCTCCTCAGACCATTTGTTCACATCTTTGATATTCGAGTACTCACGAGTGTCAGGTATAGGAATTTCAAGAGGAACTGGGGATGGTGAAGTAGGCGGAGATTTAGGTGGAAATGCATCTTCTTGTTTTGGAGTCTCGATTTTTTCCGGTGGGGATGCCTGTGTTTCGCTTGCTTGCACGACTTCTACTTCTTCATGGGTTTCGATTTGTGAAGTTGCACCGTCAGTCGAGGATGTCTCTACAATAATTACAGAAGTATAGCGACATGTGTTGCACAGATTTAAGCGTTTCAAACTTGTCAGAACGGTAAAGTTACCATTCTAAAAATTTTTCTTTCACAACGATCGTTATAGTGACAGTTCTGAATTCTTTTGTAAAACCAGCCCTTTTAACGGCTGCTTCAAACTTTTCCTAAGACTTTTTATCTCGTTCTACTCCTTTTTTACTCGTATAATGCCAAACTAAAATGTTAGACATTGGAACACATCGACAATGAGAGCGGAGGCGTTTCAAAACGTAATTCGTACTCATTTGGCAAAATAACAATTTGACTGTTCGAATTTGCTCAAATTTTCGAAGTTCAAAGATGATTCAAGTATTCAAATATGTTGAAAAACTTCGAGAGATCTAAATGTCAATTTTGTGCTCCAACTCTGTAAGAACAGTTTGAATATTTAAGAAAATCTCAGTGACAGATAATTATAGTTTGTTCTGTTCGCGAGACATAGTTGAGGAAAAACTACAGAGAAGAAGAAAACTAACAACAGAGACACAACTTATTTTTGTTTTTTGATGGTAAGAGATTGATTTTGTTTAAAGTATCTCAAAACAGCACTAGTGTAAAAATTTTTTTAGAATTAAAACAGGCAATCTACAACTTGTATCAGCTTGGCCATTCGCTGTTAACGATCACAGCTCTGATGTTAGTCTGTCATGTCTCCTCTCCATGTTAGATCAAAGTTAGGAGTATTCACCTGGGAGGCTACTTTTGTATACAAGAAGTTACTTTTGGCAAATGAAATATACACATCATCCTCTAATTTTATATCTATCGTAGCAATTTATAGTTGTATAAAAATAAATCTGACCTTTTTTCTCTTCTTGGTCCGTTGTTTCGTGTTCACTACTGGTGGACTTTTTCCGTTCGCTTTTGTCTTTCTTATTGTCGTCGTCAGGTTTATCGGCACCCTGGTTTCGTTTTATTTCAGCGATTAAGAGAGCGTATGCTTCATCAAATGTGCCTTTATGAAAATCGACATACATTTTAGAACCGGCAATAAATCCCAACCAACCGTCAGCTCGATATTGATCTTCGGTTATTAACGGTATCATTAAGCGTTTTCGATTGTAAGCATATTCAGCTTCTGCTTGACAATTTGGTGATTTTTTATAAGCACTTGACATACTAACAAGAATCATGTCGGAATGTTCAATAGCTTCAGCCATACGTTCAATAATTGAACCAAACATATTGTCTTTATCAAGCCAGATTTTATAGCCATCTGCTTCTAAACGGTCATGTATTTTATAAACCAATTCTTTTTCACTCCACGAATAACTAATCATAAAATCATAGTGATCTTCTGCTTTTTCATCAGCACTCCCAGACGATTCTTTTTTATCACCATCACTTGATTTGTGTGAATCTTTGTCGTCACTCACAGGCTTCGTCTTCCCATCAGCTTTAGCTGCCTCTTCTGTATTAGCAGCCAGTTTAGCTTCCTCTTCTGCCTCAGCAGCATTTTCCTTCTCTTCTTGTTTTTCAATAAATTTCTTTTCATCTTCAAGTTTCCACATAATACCTATCAAATTAGTTCGACTGTCAATGCTAAAATCTTTTACGTAAAAAAGACAACTAAGTACGTACCTGAAGCTGCTTTTTTGACATCATCTTTGTCAGATTGTTTTTGTTTTCTAAGACGTTCTACAAAAGTCTCATCACTCTTGATTTGATCAACTGCTTGTTCTTTAAATGACATCGAGTAAAGAATTTGTAATGGCGTAGCATCATCGGCCTTATCTGTTGAAGTTTTAATTATGGATGGCACTGCATTTTGTTTTATAATTTCATTTTTAATCTCATCATTAGCAACAAGATCTAGAAAGAGTAGAAATTTTTGAAAAATAATATATTCATTTTACAGTAACTCTTAGCAACAATGTGATACGAGTATCATTTATAAAATTATTTATTTCTTTATTACTTTTCAATCCATTCAGTGCATCTTCTCTCTTCTCTGGTGTTAGTGAACTGAGTGCATCATTTAATTTTGTAACAGCCGCTTCTGTAACTTTGGCAATATCAGCCGATTTCGTTAACTGTTCTTCGGACATGATTGATTCCAGTATGTCATATGATTGCAGATTAATAGTGTCATTATTCACTTTGGTTAATGCTTTAATCTGTTCACCAATCTGTTTTTTCTTAATTATCGGTAATATAGCAGGAATGGCTGTTAATGCACGTATAATTTGAATAGCTTCTAGTAGTAACATTGTTTCAGGATTAATCGAAATAGATGATATTTTTTGTATTAATATTGGTGCGCTGAGTATTAGGATGACATTATCAACAATTTTCTCTGTGTAAGCATCCACATTTTCTCTCTTTGTCGATGCGAATGCTAGGAAATTAGTTATATAATAGAATGCCAAGATTAGAGAGTTTTGCCATTGCGCAATCGACGGTAGAAATTTATCATAGATTTGTAAGTATATTTGTAGCTTTTTTGAAAGCAATTTGTCGATTAATTCTTGTCGTCTACTGCCGGAGTACTTATTGAAATAGTGTGCACAAGTGATTAACAAGAATTGTTCAGATTCATTGAATTGTTTTACGTCTGGACGAAGTTTAAGAAATGTATCTGAATAATAAGTTGATGATAAACAATCTACAATGGATTCAAGCAATTGTAACATAATAGGATTATTCATTATCGGTTTTTGTTCATGTTGAAAATCTGTTAATGCTTCTAATATGGTATCTAAGTGTTCCAAATTACGATCTGAGAAATGTGCACCCTTTTCAGCTATATCTTTAATGTTTACTGCTATTGATTCTATAAATGGTTTATTTACAAGCCATGTGGAAATCTTATTGATTTTCTTTGAATCATCAGTCGAATAGCTAATCAATTTTAATAACAATAATTGATTTACCACTTGATTTAATTGGAATATAAGAATAATTAAAATGTTCTGTAGCAAAATTTTTTCTTGAGGATGTTCGTGAAGGTCTTGGTAAT